CAGCTATATAGCGCCTACGATCGCATTTGTTTATTACGCTTTTTTGAGTCATAACGCTGTACTCTGGTTGAAGAGTCAATGTGTTTAAATTACGAAATCACTTAACGATAACAGTTTCTGGCTCATTTTCCTCTTTTTAGCAGATTCGATATGCCCCTGGTGCTGGTGGAGAGTCAGAGATCAGCTGCTGTGTAAAATATTCGGTTTTTGGCTTCAATGTACTATTTTTTTTAATCGGGTTCGCATTACTGCTGATCGGCATATGGGCGCAGATTGAGAAGAACAATATCTATAGTCACTTGAATAAGGTGAAAGTTTTCTTTCATTTTTTTTGCTCTTTGACCAGAATGTTTTGAGAAGTAGTGTATTCGAATATTTTTGCATAAATTATTTGAGCTTTTTTCACCAATTAAGTGGAAAAAGTCTTTCAGTAGTAAGAACCTAAGTGGATTACAGTGATTAACTGAGTTTCTCAAAGATTTGGCTTTTTGGCTTCTGCCTTCAGAAACTGTCGTGTTCTTCATACCGAACTATCCCTGCGTCCTTGATGATGATTTTTTGTCTTTACAGGCGTCGAAGTTATACCTTGATCCAACATGGCTACTTCTTGTTGTTGGTCTGGTCACATTTGTAATTGGTTTGTTTTCTGTCACGTCCTGTCCACGTTTAAGCTCATAATTGCTACGCTGTTTAGGGTTCAGCGGCTGTGTTGGGTCGCTTCGTGAAAACACGTCATTTTTGACGTTCTACTCGTCTCTATTAGGTCTATTACTGATAGCCGAGTTTGCCGGTGCTGTGTTTGCGTATGCTTGTCGAGACCAATTGGATACATACATTCGGAATTTATTGAATGATGTGGTACTGTTTTCATTCGGTTTCGTTAAATGAACAGATTCTTGTTTGTTGAGTCACTGCGATGGTTCCCGTTATCGCCTTTATTGATGATAATGAGTCATCGTAGCCGTCGCCTCTCTTCTTTCTTGAGAACGATTTTCTTCAGCTCTCACGGGGGGAATTTTTTCAGGTGGTAGGATACCGGGATGATCCAGATCTGCAAGTTTTGATTGATACGATGCAGGAGTCTTGGCATTGCTGCGGAATAAATGGTGCTGACGATTGGGATCGAAACACATATTTTTCTATTGCGGCTCGAGAGGTAAGCAGAATTTTTCAGAACTTTATGAATTTCTTATGAAACACTCTTGAATGAACTTACTCGAACCTCTTTGCGACAGCTCTTGAGGAGAGTTCTTATTTCAGCTTAAGGAGCTAGGTTGGCAAATGTAACCTGGAGCGGTCCTTGTCTCATTCGGTAATTGGGGTAGCGAAGTTTATAGTGAATAAAAATGTCTATATCTCGCTGTTTGTTATCGTCGGAATCTCGCCTATAAATGGCAGTCGCCATCAAATTGCTTCCGTCCAATGTCAACATTTTATAGGCGATTGCTTTTGCGAAGTATGTAAGTGTCGCGAAAAAGTAGTACCAGCTAGGCAGTCGAGGCAAATTTAACTGAATTATCTAGCTATTGCGTCAACGTTCCTAATTTTAAATGCCTCCACGAAACATTTTTCGAAATAAGTTCGAGGATATTGAACAAGAGCTTGAGCACTTCAGCTGGACTGTTTGAACGGTTTGTTGAGGAATGAGGGGTAATACAACAACTTTTCAAAGTTTTTCTTCGCTGTTTTTAAAATATTCAACTCATTGCCCTTCAAAGCGTCTAATAAAGGCTGTCCTGTAAACTTCCTTCTCATTTTACAATGCATTGCCGTACAGGTTTGCTGTTCAATTCCTTTTTTATTGACTTCTTTCCAGGTGGCTTCTCCCGAAGCTGGTGGTGTGCCGTTTTCTTGTTGTCTCAACAGCAGTCAACTTGCCTTCAAAAATTTCTATTGTGGCCATGGAGTACGTTTAAAGGTTTGCTAACTGGATGTGTGGTTTTTTCTAATTCGTTAGAAGTGCTACCAAGCCTTCAGAGATATTCTGACCAACGTGCGAGCCTTTTCGAGAGATTTAGCGAAAGAATTTGGGAAGATTTTTTACCAGGGCAAAGGATTTTCTGAAAATGGTCGCACAGTAGAATAGTCTGGAACTTCTAAATATGCAATGATATCGTACTATACTGAGCATTTTTTTTTGTCCAGGAACACGCGCAAAGTTCTCTGAATACAATCTACACAGATGGTTGTTTGCCAAAGTTGCAGCTTTGGTTGAATAACAATGTATTTCTAGTCGGAATCGTACTTATAATAGTTGCTGTGATCCAGGTAAGTCTTTCAACTGATGATTTCCTTAGTACTTATTCTTACTGTGCCGTTGAAAAAAATCGTTGCCTGTTTGAAAAGTCTGTAGTTGCTAAGCAGCTGCCTAATGTGAAGTATAAACTGTGGATTGAGCGTAGAAGATTTCCTTTCGACTTATTACATCAATTGCCTACTATATAGCTAGACATTACCTTATCTTGAACATTTCTCTTTTCAGATTCTTGGCATTTGTTTCGCACAAAACCTAAAAAGCGACATCTTCGCACAGCGTGCGAAGTGGTACTATACGCATTGATTTATTTGGTTTCTGTGGAGCTTATGTGATTCATCCACCACTGCGCGCAATTCACGACATTCCTTTCATATCTTTCTTATTTCCGCATGGCGCACCATAATATTTCTCCTTTTCTCTATACTTTTCTCCTTTTTGTGAAATTTTTGCCTAGCATAGTCATTGATACGAGGTATGTTCATGTAATTTTTATTATCCTATTTTCGAATGTATGGGAGTTTGATCTTTTGCCTCTTCATTGATGTTTCCTTTCACATAAGCTTTCCGAGTACTGCCTTTTGAAAACAATGAAAGGTGAGGACTCCATTGAACCCTCAGCTGTTCAGCTCATCACTTGAAGGGTCTAGCATAATGTTGCTTTTGATTCACTAAATGCATTCATTCATTACAACTTGTTTCTGTTCTGTAACTTAACTTACTACGCGTTACTTAGTGGTCTTATGTACCTCTATCGCTAACTCGATCTGAGTTTTCTTTCGCCTAACCTATACTATGCCACTCCTCGCCTTTGCCTTCAGATTCTTTCAGAATACTTCTTGTGAGGATGCGAACGTGTGACTTTCGCTGTCAATCTTGCTGTATTCAATTCCATAATGGTTTGTCAAGTTGTGTGATATAATTTTGTATTGTTGTACAGACTGATTTCATTGAATTCAATAAATGAATAAACTGTATTCCTCTGTATAAAATATTCGTTTCTGTGTTTACCAGTATCATATTTCGTCAATGAAATGACCTAGTGACATAGCTATTCACAATATCAGCTAGCTTCCCTAGACTGAAGCTCATCGATTGGTAGAGTAGTCAGTGTATCAATAAGTTTATGGACTGGTTTGGTGTTTGTGTAGGAGGATCACTACTCGCAGGGACAATTGTGTTAGCTGCAGGCTATCCTTACGGTGTCAAGGTAGGTGATAGTATTCGTAGATAAGTATATAAGACTGCTTGAAAAACGACTTATGATGTTTGAACTGATCGAGTCAAGCTTCCGTTTTAAATAACGGTGTGCGACCATTTATTTAGGAATTGAGAGGCGCTATGTTGTCACACTTGTTTGTGAGCGTCTTTTTTATGTGAAGAGAATGACCGTTTAACAGCACATACCCTTGTAATTTTCTTAAATCAGCAGAAATAATTATACAGGAAACTAACTCGAATATTTTGTAATTTCGAGCCCATTCAGTGTCAAACATGTATTTTGAATGGTTCACTGATCACCATCATGAAAGATTGGAGTTTTATGTATGGAATGTAGGAGCGTTTCGCAAGCCGGTTTTAGTGTACAGGGAGAGAAAGGCACCAGGTGGCCATTATGTACGAGTTCGAGGTCGGTCCGTCGAGGACAGGTGTCATCGATGATTTTGCGCTGAAAACCAAAAGACTCAGCGAAAATACTCTGATTGTGAGCGAAGAAGGGATCTCAAATGATTTTCTGGTAGTGCTGAGAGATTGTCAGAACCAGCGAGCTGGTTTTCAAAGCCGTCAAGCCGAAACTTCCAGACTATGCTTTACTTGATGAAGTACAGGCCAATTGACTACATTTTTATGTCCTAAAATGTAGGCAATGGCGTTTTGCCGCTGGAATATAGTTTACTACGCGAGCTGGTGGCATGGGAATTTTTCTATTTCATTGTGTGAAATTTCAGGACTTTGCAACATTTGTGGAGTGGCTGAGGACCAGTAGCGATGAATGGTCTGCTATGCAAGATCAAGACTCTATTAGGCTTCAGCCACCCAGAACTCAAACCGGGCGAAGAAAATCCGCCCAAAAACATGAGTGAGGTCATAGAAAGGTTGCCCGTAAGTAGAATTTGTTTGTTTCTTCCTTGGCTTTATGTATGAAATCCTGTCAAGTGCATCATATTTTCACTTTTATAGGAAGATTTTAAAAAATACATGCAAGAAGAGAGGCCGTATCGTCGGGCTGCAGCGTTGGCTTTCATTGTAATCGTTTTCGGACTCGGTGGACCTTTGTGGTATTACTCAACTAGGACCTATCGTGCACATTTCGATACTTTTCCTGAAGGGCAAACAATTTCGCTATCTGTTCAGTGAGTATTAGATTTTCTCCAAAGAATATTGAGTAGCTCAGGGAAACGTTGAAAATCGAAAAAGTATCCCATCTGGCGTAGTACATATGTATCCTCTTTTTCCTTGTTGAGTGAAAAAATTGAGTGGAAAACCTCAGAAGCTTGAGAATCACCTTGCCTGGGGTTGCTTAGTTGTGGATCTCCGTAGATTTTTACTACAATTTTTTCAAAAGCTTTAGCGAATGATGATGATCTTTGAATTTTTCATCGTTTTGATGGGATCGGTGGTTTAGCATGCTGTTCCGGTCCAGCAGTTGCCGCTGATTTCCATAACGTATTCCGCCTAGACGTAGTAGTGTTCAGCGAGCGTCATTGGTAAAGAGCATGATCTAACAAGGATTGGACTGTGCTAATGTAGGCAGCTTGGTTGAGGGACTGGAAGGCAGGCCTACTCGAGGTTAGGCTACAATAGTGTGACAAAGCTATCCCTATTTTCATCCGATGGTATAGCAAGAACTCATAATAAGCCCTTCACCATTAACGAAACTCAGCTTCTCATATACTTTACCCCCACTTCACGAAAGAATTTAAGGATTCATCTCGCTGTTACTAACAAGACTCTCGAATCCGAGCTGGGCCCTTTGGAACAAATTATCTTAGACCACCTTCATGATGGTGAAGTGAAATCACCGCTGAACATCCGGTGGAACATTCTGAACGAAGGGCTGAGGTATGGGTTTCCTTAGGTGATAATGTGTTTTCCTGATTGCTTTATTTTTAATCATTCTAACAAATTTAAATATATTTGTCGAATGGGTAGCATAGCGGAATATTGTTGCAGAGATTTGCGTTCTCTGGAGCATGATCGAATAATGTCATCGGAGTCGTTGGAAGTGTACATTGCCGTGGTTTCTCCGGAACAATGGACACAATTTTCAGCCATAAACTTATACCTTGGTCGCGGTCGTTGGGCTTTTGTTCAGTATACATCTGAAAAAGAAAAGCTTGTCGAAAGGTTGCATACGCTTATTTGGGAGGTAGGAGGAGTTGTTTTTTAGCTTCCGTGAACCCATTTCTGCGTTATCATAATGACTCAACCTTTCATATTTTCATGAAGACGGGTTCAAATCATGGATCAGACGCCTGAATGGCTTCTGTAGGTGTCGAGTTTGGCATAGGCAGCACAGTATTGAGTTAATGGTTGTTGGATTAGGTTCTCACGTACGCCCAGTAGGTATTCCTTTGCTTACTAGGGTGTACATGTGCACAAGGTAAAAGAAACGTCTAGACCGTTTGCAGAACACCGACATTTATGAAAAGTCATTATCTTCGTGTCGGTAAAAAGAGTTGTTCCTTGAAAGCGGCGAACAGTAAGATGCTTAGTAATTTCAGGTCATGGTAGATGTTCCCCATTTGAGTGCCATTGTAAAACGAGACATGAGAGAGCGAATGGAACCGTGGCAAATAGCAGCGCTGTCACCATCTCATCAGGTCAGGCTTGATACTGTATTCATCATTCCTTGTAGAAGAGATTTGTTCATCAGGGCGCTCACGGAATCCGCTTCTTGAAATTTCTTTTGCCTGCCTTTCTCGAAATATTTATATGAATTTGATATTTTAGAAACGCCTTGTATGGGATTCAGTTCCATTGTCGATGAACTACATCGTACAGGTGATACATGTGCATGATAACGCGTCGCCAGATACATTTCGGCCAAGTAACATCATGGAAGTGGTTGGAGTATTCGCAAAACGTTTACGAAACGTTACAAAAATACAGGTTCTTCAGCCCATATGAATTTTGTAACGTTAGATTCTCAGGTTGTTTTGTTTTTTGTTTATTTCTTTTCCGTTTTCTTATATTTGCTATTTCTATCAATTTTGCTATGTTTTAAGCTCAGCTCAGAACACCTGTGGGACTTCGAGATCTCAAACTTTTTTGAAACGGATGTACAGGGCAGATATACGCTCACACAAGAAGGAATGGAACGCTTACTGAAGGAGGTAATGGAATTCGAGTATTTTCATTGACCCACTTTGCAGGTTTTACGGTCGGTAAGACGCCTCTAATACTGTCAAGGGCTTTGAGAGTAGTAAAATTTATCGATTCAGTTTTTCAGAGCCGTTTTTCGAAAGCCTGAAATTGCGGGTTGACTCGATTCATTGGCTTTTTCTCTTAGGTCGATTCTCAATTGCTGTCTGTGGAATCTTCATTACCTGTTCTGAAAATGATTATTATCGAAGTAGATGTACCTGTGGTGATGTTGGACACTACCGTGAGTATTTGTTTTCCTTTAATTCTACTAATAAGAGGAATAGTGTTATTTTTTTTTT